TGTGTGAATTGTACATTTATTAGGTAATAATAAAAACAAGTTAAGCAGTGGTTACAAAACTATCGCGCTATCTAGATTATTATCCAAGATTAATCCAGTAATGTAAGTAGACTCAAACTGTAGTTTATACTTGTTGTATTCCCCAATTTCATGGTGTCACAATCAAATATTCAAAATTTACTTTAATATATTTGCAATGAATTTATTAATCATTGAGTTATAATGATTGCTCTTTTTAATTTGCATAGAATAGCAAGTGTAGAAATGAAAAATGACAATACTTACTTTTATCGTTGAACGTGACAATAAATGTTGTGCTGCCAATATCGTTTTCTGCAAAACAGGAATAGCTACCATAGTCACTTAGCATTGTATTCTGTATTGTCAATATACTTTCATGTAAGGTTCCACGTGACACTGTTTTGATACTGACTCTACTGTCATTATTTATTGGTTGATTATTCGGACCGTACCATATTACCGATGAAAGAGGGTTGCTTTCAATCTCACATCGTAGTTCTGCAACGCTCCCTTTGCTTGCATACGATCGCTGATTGTGTGGTACGTTCACAACAAATGGTTTATCTGAAAAAAAGTATAATGTATTGCTGTTTATCAAGTAGGCTGTAAATCATGATTAAAACTAAATAAGATCAAAAATAGTTAACGTATTATTATTTAAATAACACCATGTTAATCAAGTAGTACTTCATAAGAATGCATATACAGTATAACCCTTAATGTTATGATATTATTTTCATATTGCAGCGCACAATAACAGTGGCAATTATTCAAGACAAAGTTTTTTTTTTTAAAACCTAGGAGAAGGAGGAGTGGTTTTCGTTTTGGAAAGCAAATTCAGTTAATTATGTAATACTTTTGTTTAACATTTCTTGAATTTTCATTGATGGCTATTGATAACTGTTAATTGTGTTCATCATGTAAATATTGTAAATGGTATACAAGTCAATTCAGAAAACCGTCGATAGTCAGTCTTTACCGTAAAACGTGATATTGTGACTCATTACACTCATTAATCATTATTAATACGGTTTTAGCGTGATAAAGAAAATAAACTTTTCATGTCACATAATCAAATATTGCTTGCATAAACAGGTTTCTACTGTAGTATAATGGGAGAGAGCAAATACAAATCCGTATATTACAATTTTTGTTTTACGGCAAACTTGTGTTCTATTAAATTGTTCCAAAAGAACACACAACATAATGTTGTTTAACATTACCATGAAAATATAGTGCCGCTTTTGTACATGCAATTAAAGTGGGAGAGTCGTCACCTGCGTATGCTCAGATGAAAATAGCGTGTCATTGTTTACAAACAAGCGTCTACTTATAAGCATTTGCGTTTTTAGCGTGTGTTGTTATCGTCGCTTGCGCAGGTGACGACCCTCCCGCTTTAAAGTAACCATGGCCGTGAAATCAACAAATGTGAATTGTAATACATTTCTAAATTACTTACAATACACAGTTAGATGAATTACAGTAGATGTCACGTGACCTGTAATGTCTGTATGACTTAATTGGCATTGGTATGATTTATTGTTATGTTCTGCTTGTATGGATATTGTCATCTGTTGTTCACTTATTTCACCATTATAATCTCCATCTCTTGTAACATCAGATGTAATAGATTCATATGTATTAGCAGTCCATACATTGTTATCTTTTAACCATGATATCTGAGATGCTGGATTACTGGTTGATGTGGTACAAGTCAGTATTTTAGTTTCACCTTCCTTCACAGGATTGGTTATGCCCGATAATGTCACACTCTCTGCTGGAACTGTAAACGAAAATGTTGATCTAATAATTCTAACGATTTTGAAATAAAATTCCATAACTAGGATACATACAGTAGGCATTGAATGGCCAAAGTTGACATGTTAATGGTGTAGTTTGTAGAACATTAGTTGCTTTACATGTATACATTACTTGATTATCATTTCTATTTAGATTCCATATATAAGATATAATTACAGTAGACATTGAATGGTCCAAGTTGACATGTTAATTGTGTAGTTTGTACAACATTAGTAGCTTTACATGTATACATTACTTGATTATCATTTCTATATAATTCTATATATAATATATACTTACAGTAGACATTGAATGGTCCAAGTTGACATGGTAATGGTGTAATTTGTATAACATTAGTCGCCTCACACCTATACATTTCCCCATTATCATTTCTATTCAGATTCCATGTGTAATCCTGTGAAACTGTGTTACCATTTGTAGATGATGATAAACCTTGTATCTGATTGTTACCATGATACCAATGTAATGTCGCTAATGGATTGCCATCAGTTGATTGACATCTTATTTTCATTTCGTCATCGAGTAGGTAAGATAATGAAGTGGTAGTCTGATAAGTGCAATCTGGATTATCTGGAGCATCTAGTAATCAATACAATCGTGGAGGTAATAATATAATTTAGTACAACTATTTTTCGAGTACCGGTACCATGCAAGAAGTCGTACATTGTTGTTATAATACATGTAACTTGTATATGTTAGCTATCCATGGCTATTTACTTACACCTTATATTAAGTATTATGTGTTCATCCTTATTTCCTTTAACATTAGTCACGTGACATGTAAATGTTTTTCCATTGTCATCTTTGTCACTGGGATTAATAGTAAATGCACTGCCATCACTGCTGAGTTGATATCTAGTTATTGCAGGTAGTGGTTGGTTATCTCTTAGCCAGCTGCAACTCGGAGTGGGACTTCCAGTAGACGTACATTTTAATCTGATTATATTGCCTGCATTGGATGGATTACTGCCAGCTGTAATACTTATTGTAGGCTGAGATGGTGGTGTTGCAGCTATGTAGTTATAAGAAAACATCTATTTATATTGTGTAATAGGAATATTAACATTCCCCTTGCATATATCTTATGCCAATGATACCAGTATTTACTGGAATATAAAAAGTTCTGATCCGACTTTAAAATATTAGTCTCTTCCTTGAAACTGAAATGCAGAATTTATCCCATGTTGCTTTTTGGTTCACCTCCTACATTATAAACAGGCATAGTTGTATATTAAATACTAACTATAAATTTCAGGTAACCACATTAATACGGATATCTGTAATATTGCAAGCACTGCTATAGAGCGGAATACGCAACCAGTGCTATAATGAAAGCAATAGGCAAAACATATGATTAATAATATGATTACGTGACCTCATTATTATGCATAACTGTAACTAACAACCAGTGTTATTGTCCCGCCCCATCCACTTGTCGCCAGGCAATCAAACACAAATCGGCTATAAACCTATCAACCTATCAACCAATATTTCGGAACCGAAGTTGGCGATGACGGAGCATAACCTGCTCCTTACTTCTTACTTACAGTGCACAGTCACTTGGGGGATGAAAATCAATAAATACTAATTATTTGAAAAAAATTTATCCGCTATACGTATATAAATAATCAAGTTGTGAAACATGGCACCTAGTAAATCGACACCCTGTCGGTTTCAAATTTCGATTTCTTACCTTAAAATGTGATACGAAAATTTTAGACGGGATCAGGTGTTACGTTAATAACCATTGTTTATAATCGCTAACTTGGTTTTATTCAAAACTGCATAAATCCCGCGTTTTCTGATGATATCCGACGATTTGATAAACGAAAATTGCCAGCAGCCAGAATCAAGGGGGATTCGCACAGAGTTCTGGGTAAATCAAGGAAATACTCGCTGTTACGGCACGCCTGATTGGCTGAAAATGAGTATGCGCACAAAAAAGGATACCTACGTGTTACTGTGAGTGTAATTGATTTTTCATCTCTGGGATCACCTAAACCTTCTACTTGACACCAATACTTGTCAGCATCACTTAACTGTGTATCCGTTATAAGTAGACTAGCTTGGTTTTGAATGTCATGTCTTGTGATTCCAGGCTGAGGGAAAACCCCGGAATTGTCTTTTTGTATAATCAGATAACCTGTACTTGTACTACTCCCTTTATACCATGAAATCAGTGGATTACTGCTAGTTGTAGTAAATGTACATTCCAATACTGTTGATGTGGTCTCAATTGAAGTGACAGGTGATCCAGGTACAGTAACAGTGATCGCTGCTGCAACTACGAATGTATAATAAAAATACAATTGTTTCGAGTATATACATGTATACGGCCAAACAATTGAATCATATACAACAATTCTACTTTGTATCTGTTGATTAGTTATAAGATCTATAGACAAAGTTTTCATATTAGGTGTTCCTAAAATTGTATAAATCTCGTACATCGTAGTAGTGGTTATCGTGGATGAATTGACGAAAAAACTGTACTTAACTATTATATGTATAATAGAGGTTAAATCGACTAGTAGATATTATGGACCGAATATTTTTGATCCCAGGGTGGTGCACTGAATTGACATTATGTCGTATACTCCTGACATGTAGACACACTCATGGTATTAATATGAAATGATGTTTTCATCATATACATGATCTCTACCGAGTTTTCTCTTATAAGACATTTTCGTGTGCACCTTTGAGTTCGTATTTGAAACTGACTCTTAAATCGTAAGTACATATACTTACTTGCAAGTGTAGTTAGAAAGACAATGGTTGTCAACATGTTTCTGCAAACAAATGAACTTTGACATGAATACAGTGAAGTGGACCACTTCCATGAAAGTAGCCTATATATTTCTCTAGAATGTACATGTAATATTTGTATAACATCTTGATTGTTTATCGCTCAATTGAATGGTGATTTCATTGTCAGAACACGACTTAGTCGCAAATATTCGGGAAAGGTATTAATCAATATAAAATACCACAGAGGTAGAGCGCTTTTATCTGACTGTATAGTTTTTAATATTTATTTTCACTATACTTACTAAATATGAATATTATGTATTATGGGTAAAACCCATCTTCCAAAACAAATACCAAGTGTTTCGGTGACAGGGCAACAAACTAAATCGCGCCGACGCCTTCACTGAAGTGAGCAAATACGCTAGGCAAGTTAATATTGCTCAGATTTAAATATATAAAATTTGATTCACGTTTTTATTTACACACTACCAATGAGAAGGGCATCTGTTTGGCGGTTTCCGTATGTGTGCAATTTTTTCAGACGTTTTTAAATGCGATTGATGTCGACGAGATTAGCAAAAACTGACATAGAAATGTTTTGTAATATTTATACGAATAAAATCACACCAACTTACTGGAGACAACAATGGGGAAAGCTACTCCGACTGTAAAAATAGTTAACGTTATTTCACTAGCTGTGTTTCCGGGTTCGTACACTTTGACCTCTCCACGCACTTAACTTTGTGGTAGTGACGGTCAACTTTTTTTAATGAGCTGGCTAGGTGCACTATGCTGAACATAAGAATAATTTTATCTGTAACTTCCACTTTTATCGATATACATAATGCGATATGATGTATTGCGTTGTGTAGGTTTGTTTCCTATTCAATCCCACTTCACAAAAATCAGTATTTAAACAAATGCACTTGCCTCGTGGATTGTTAATTTATCAATACTTGTTCATGTGAGTCAGCTGTAAATTTGTAGCATTAGTCTAAGTCGAGTGAGATGTCAGAATATAATAACAGTGTCATGTACACTGTTAACAATAATGCAGTGTAAAATTATAAAATATAGTGAAAAGAATTATATATGAAGCGCGAAACCGTGTTAGTTGTTATTGCAGTTATCATGAACAGTTGACAGTGGATGAAACCAAAAGTTAATCTACAAGATTATATCAATTTCATTACCAACGTTTTGAAACAAATGAGCGGCAAACGGTGAACAGTGAAATACCGAGCTTCATCACATCACATGGCCGTTCTGTGCGTGTGTGCGTGAACTAATCATAAATTATATAAAATGTAAAAGTTATACACGTGTAGTTATATGATCGTGTTATTTTATTATGTTATTTATGTAGATAATTCTATTATAGTGTACACAAATTGTCAAGGGTATCATTGCTATACCCTTGACTCAAATAATAGTAAGCGTAGTCAATAATGCTGGTAACAGTGTGTGTAAAGAAATGATATCATTCCCTATAAGAACTGCGCGATGTTTACGATAGTGCAACAAGTTTCACCAAAAAAGAAATCAGTCTGTTCAGACCGATTTATTAGTGTAGCTTTTCATTACACATGCACTAATTTATATTTTATTTATGACTACAATTAGAAAAACCCTTTTATATAGACACTACTTTATGGTAAATAAAGATTTGTTACACATAATCACGACATATAAATAGGCGTATATATTTATTTTATTATTGAACATTACATATTGATGATTTTTTGTCAATGTGTCATACTGTTAAATGGAAATGCTAGTGTGGACCTTACACTAATCGCTCAACGACTGTTGTATTTTAATACCATGGAATGTGGTACACAATACAGGTCAACAAAGGGGTCATTAGTGTTTGAAGTAACGACTGGCAACTTAGGTTCTTGTCCTCAATACCTTTGATATGCAGATTAGAATTCCACAATTCATACACTGTGTGAGCAAAATCGTCACTACTGCCACCACAGTGTGCTTGAGTGTATGCTTTTTTGCGCTCTGATCTCCATTCAAGCTAACCGTCTTCAGCTACTGGCATTTCTGACTGAAATTGTGTTATTCAAACATGGCGGCATCCCAGTTTTGACTTGCATACATAATTACGTGTAAGTTTCACTTTTATGTGTGAAACACTATTTCATTTAAACAAATATAGTTTTCTAAAAATTGAAAACCCTATTCCTAAATTTTAATCAATTGAATTTAAAGTTCATAACCAGAATTAATTTACAAATGTTATTATAACAATTGAATAATTTTGTATTTTAATTATCCTAAATATTTTTTTATTTTACAATCATCATCACATTCATCATCAACTATTTTTTACCTCA